GAAATTCACTACCGCAGCCATACTAAAGAACGTCCATTTGTTTGTACAGTCTGCAGTCGTGGGTGTTCCACTATGGGTAATTTAAAACAGCACTTACTGACGCACAAATTAAAAGAGCTGCCTTCTCAGTTATTTGAACCCAACTTTACTCTAGGTCCCAGCCAAAGTACTCCTAGCCTGGTCACCAGTACAGCACCTACCATGATCAAAATGGAAGTGAATGGTCACAGCAAGCCGATCTCTTTGGGTGAGGTTCCCTCGCTTCCAGCTGGAATCCAGGTTCCTGCTGCACCACAGACAGTGATGAGTCCAGGGATCACCCCTATGCTGGCGCCCCCCCCTCGCCGGACTCCCAAGCAGCACAACTGTCAGTCGTGCGGGAAGACCTTCTCCTCAGCAAGTGCACTGCAGATACACGAGCGCACCCATACCGGTGAAAAACCGTTTGGTTGCACAATCTGTGGTAGAGCTTTTACCACAAAGGGGAATCTTAAGGTAAGAGGCCAAATAAAACTGTGAAGGCTAGGGGCGGGGGGGTGAAGGCACCATTCTTGAACTCAGCAGGTTTTAGTGCTAAGTGCTTGTCCCAAAGAGAGAAGAGAAGCGAGTTTCAAGGAAATGCTTGCTGTATAGTGGTGTTTATTATGCTTCCACTGCTTCCGGGAAAGTGGCTGTGGAATGATGTGGACTTTAAAACTGGTTCTGGGTGTACACGCTTGCATGTAGTAGTTCTCCTGACAAGACATAAGGGCACATGCAGTCAGCTGATGGATGTGTTCTGGCAGTTCTTGTGGACCATCAGTACAAAATAACCTGGCTATAACCCAGAAACTTAAAGTTTCCTCTGCTCCTTGGGTGCTTCTCAGATTTTCATTTTCTGTTCCGCTCTGCAGACTAGAAAGCTGTTTCCCACTGATTTGCAGTGGGTTACTACAGGACTCACACCTCTTATTCCCACAGTGTGGTTAACCATGAGGACACAGACTGGGGAATACATTTTTAAATGTCCCTTTCTAGAGTATCAAATTTAGCGAAAATAACTGATGCCTCTGACAAGAGAAAATATTGTGGAAGTAGACAAGATGAAAAAAGAAGGGCAGGAAAAACCTACCCTTCTCCTACTGCAAGTAATGCCCTTGGTATTCTTCAGCATATGAGGACTTTGAGCTTGCATATGAAATTGTCTTATCTAAGGGGATATTAGATATCCTCTTGCAGGGCTGCGTTGATTTTCACTGAGGAGAAACAAAATGCACACTGGAAAATTACTTCAGAGCTGGGTTTTCTTTGTGCAGGTTGACTGGGCCTTAGAACTGTGTCTTAACTAGAATTGACTTGTTTTCAGTGTGAATTAAAAGACTTTTTTAAAGCAAGTGATACTGTAAGTAACAGCATTTCAGGCCAGCCACCTCACCAGAATGTGCTATCTTGGGGGTGCTTCTTGTCCCCTTTTGCTCCGCAGGTTCACATGGGAACTCACATGTGGAATAACGCGCCTGCACGCCGTGGCCGCCGCCTCTCCGTGGAAAACCCCATGGCTCTGCTCGGTGGCGACGCGCTCAAGTTCTCTGAGATGTTCCAGAAGGATTTGGCAGCTCGGGCCATGAACGTTGACCCCAGTTTTTGGAACCAATATGCTGCAGCTATCACTAACGGACTTGCTATGAAGAACAATGAGATTTCTGTCATACAGAACGGAGGCATTCCTCAGCTCCCAGTAAGTCTAGGCGGAGGCGCCATTCCGCCTCTAAGTAACCTTACCGGTGGCATGGACAAAGCTCGCACGGGCAGCAGCCCTCCTATTGTCAGTCTGGACAAAGCAAGTTCTGAAACGGGAGCCAGTCGTCCATTCACCAGATTTATTGAGGATAATAAAGAGATTGGCATAAATTAAAAGCATTCATTCTGAATAACTGTTGGACTGCTACTCGACACAACACTTGTCCTGTTCCATGTACAGCTTTTGAAGCTAAGCATTAGTTTCCTGACCTAAATGCATAGGTTCCCTTTAAAGTTTTACCCATAGCAGAAATACGTAACTTTGTGGCTGCTGAAAAGTTGTCTTGCAAGATTTGCATGGTACTTCTTTCAACAGTGAGTTTGACTGTTACAGAGAACTTTGAAATCTTTTAATTTAACAGAACACAAAAAAACCCACAAACAAATCATGAGATAACTTCATTAGACACAGAAAGAGGCTAGTCTACGTCTACTTTGCTTCTTACAAAACTTACTATCACCTGAGAAAGGGGGGCTTCATTACAGCATTCTGTCTCACTTATTTGCTGGTTTTGTTCAAATTAGTTAGCAACTTGGACTATGGTTTTAGGAATCTTAATCTTGAATAAGTGATTTAGTACCCCAATGCTGTGTATTATTACAGTATCCTTGTCTGTAGTATTTATAATGTTAAGATTATGCGGGTAACAGACAATATACTAGCCCCAAACTTAAATGAAGCTTTTGTACTGCAAAATACATCTGGCTATGTGATTTTTTCCTTTTTTTTCTTTTCTTTTCTTTTTTTTTTTTTTTTTTGTATGTTTGGTTGGTTGGTTGGTTTTGGGTTTTTTGGTTTTACTATAAATAAGTGGTTTATTTTAATGCAGGCAAAATTGTGAAGTTTTATTGGGAAAGATAGCATGCTTTTCATGTGCAAGTACCTGTCAGTAACAAACCTTTTTTTATTTAAATATTTGTAGCTGCTATGTGGACAGTTGTTCTATTAAATGAAAAAAAAAAATGTAGTGTGGACTTTAGCTCAATGATTGGAAAGCAAGTTACAGACAAACCTGAGCACCGTAAATTATTCACAACATTATAAACAGTTGTGAGTAAATACTCCATGTTATCAAAGCTGTACAATAAAAAAGGTAATGTTTGTATAATGTGGTTGCAAACTCTTAATTTATACTATTGCACTTTTAGTATTTTGTATTAGGGAGGTTTGTCTATAATTTGAAACTGAACAAAGATGTAAACTATTTTATAAATAGTACTTTGGCTTAAGGAATAAGGAGGAGAACCCTTTTGCAGTTTCTTGTTTTGTTTTAAGGTTGAACAATGAGAGATCTCTATTAACTAAGCAGAAGAGTTGCAGAGAACTGTCAGATCCTTAGGAAATATGGGGCCTGCCATTTCTTAAATAGAAATGATTCGTTTAACTTTCCTACAAAGCCCACTTAAAAGCGTGACCACACCCCACAGAATTTTGATACATTTATCTTAGGAGTGTGATATTAATACAAGTCTAGGATAGAGGAAGAACATTGTGTAGGCTTAATTTTACTGTAATCTGTTCTGTCTCTTTCACACATACCCACGAGAAACATGTTGACTGCCTAATAACATGGGAACAAAATAATAACTTTTGGGCAGCATGAGCAGTAGTAACATACAAATACTCTGTATTTATTTCCAACTCTTGCTGATTATCTTCTCAGATTGCTCCAAAGCACAATGTACTCTGATTAACCGAATACAATTTTATGTTAATTGCATTGTTTAAATTACACCAAGTAAATAAAGGGAAAGGTTCCACTCATAAGCTAGGCTGGGGATGCTGAGGAGACTGGGGCTTAATCAAAACTTGAACAGTAAATGTTTTGTGTACTACCTCATTTTTGTGCATTACAAGCATGGTGGAGTTGACACTATGAACTTCCGTCCAGTAGAACTGCTTAAGGGACGTTATGGGTAGCTGGGTAACAGCGCAAGGAGTTTTATGCCCCTGAAGAACGAATCAAATTGTGAGGTCTTCTCAGTTGAGACTGAAAAATAGGACAATCTTATACAACAAAAACCATTACTGTAAGAGGATGGACTATTTCTGCCATCATGTAATGGAGTGAAAAGAGGTTCAAAGACTTATTAGCTGTTTGTTTCTATTGGAAATGAACAATGAACAGCTCCATTTTCTACAGTGATGAGATAGGGATATATAGATACCTCTATCTATATATAAGCAAAATTATGTATTTGTAACACCTCTGTAGTGTAACATCTTTTTTTTGCCACAGTGTGTGAGTGGTTAGGGGTGTTTACAAGCATTGGAAAAAAAAAAAGAAAACTGAGGTGGCTTAATGTTGCTGTATTTCAGCAGTTGAATGTTTTTATTTATCTGTGTCTTTTTTGGTGTGACTTTTTTTTTTTTGTTAGTATTTGGTACCATGTAGTGTTATCTCTATTCCCTAAAGGATGTGTATAACTTAAAAAAAGGGAAAAAAAAAAGATAAGAAAAAAATTAAAAAGGAAAAAAAGAAAAATATGTAAAGTGTTGTAAATAAGATGGTTGATGATGGTACAGTAAGACTGACCCCATTTTGTATTCAGGGTTAGGTCATTCCTCTCTGCATGGTGAAGAGAGACACTATTTTTATACTGTGATACCATGTAGGGCTAGGAGCCTCCCTGAAACAGCTGGGAATTGTTACCTAGATCCAATATTTTTTATTATTAAATCTTGTTGGCTTGACACATCTACTGATTGAAATGGATGTCTTAGTCTAGGTTACTATTTTTGTCATATGGAATTGAATAAAATGCAGGATGTAATATAATTTCTGAATTGCGTTCCTTGATTATTCTAATAACAGGGCAAGATACACGACTAAGGTCACCTGTGGTAGATTGGTGTCAATGACTTCTAATCGTCGCATCTGAAAATCGGAATAAGGTCGACACCTTATATTCAAATGCTATTCTAATATATTAACAATGCAAAGGGACTGAATTACTGAAGTTTCTTTTCCTATGAAAATAAAACCTAAAAACATTTCTCACAAGACAGTAGAACAAAAATCCACTGTATTTTGGAGGGGGGGGAACAGTCTTTGGAGGGACTACTGTTTCAAATTGACTGCTTTCTGAGCACTGATACACCGCATGATAAAATTTGGGAACAAATTTATCAGGAGCAGCTCAAATTCTAAAATTTTTGAAAAAATAAAAAATTGACAACTCGCATCCATTCATTCCAAATGACATATCCTGTACGTTTAAACCCATGGCTTTGTTTCTTCTTTTTTTCCAGCATCCTGATTTATCAAAGAATGTCTAACTTTAACCAGATTATTTTTTCACATTGCTTTAAATGAAAGTATTTCATATAAGGTTAGGCATGTGATAAAGTATCTCCTGCAAAAAAGCTGTATGTTGAGTAACCTTCAAGTTGTTATAATCCGGTGATGAATGCCTGCTGCATTTAAAACGGACAAAAGATAAATAAAAGAGAAAAATCTGTATTAATCATCTTTCAGTGGCCTTGTTATGAAGATATTCTGTTTTATAAGACCTACCCAAAGAAGGTACGAGTTTTCTCCAGTGCTTCAATGATAGGTTTGTGCTTGCGTTCCTGCACGCATATCATCCCTGAACCTTGTTGTGAGAAAACAAGATATGGAAAAGAGGAGGAAAGCAAAGAAATCCTGATAGTTCTGGTTCTGTTCAAAACAAAAGAGGAAAATTACCTGCCCTCCCCTCCTTGCAAAAAAAAAAAAAAAACTGAATTAGAATAGTATCTATTTTAAAATATGCATTGGTTATTTTTTTTATTATAGGGAATCATTGAATAATAAAATGTGCTACAAATGGTCAAAGTCTGCTGAATTACAGAGCCATGTAGGAATTCTATATAGTCAGAAAAATTGCTGGTTACAGTTTTTTGAGGGGAGGGTTATTTTATGATACGAGAATTCCAGCAAGGCTTTCATACTCTTTACTTATATTTTTTTCCCATGAGTTACTAGAAAGCATTTATGTCAAAGGATTGACATAACCTACTTTTTTGCCATTTTGTTTTTTTGGTTTTGTTTTCCTTTTACATATATAAGCCCTCAATTTAGTATTTGTTACTCTACCTATTTTGTCCTTTCTATCTTGGCAAATACTTTGCTTTTCTAAAGCTGCGTTTGTGCTGTGTTTGTGTTGCCTTTAATTTACTTCTCTGCATGTACTCTGTCATTTGGAAATATACTGTTTTATTTTTTTCCTTTTTCTCTAATTCTGCAGAAGTCAAAAGAGCTACCTGTATTTTACATCTCTGTGTAATACTAGCATAATGAATGATGAAGTCTTCAGTGATGTCAGGTATGTGCATAGTTCACAGGATTGGCTAACAAACATGCCATTCTCGCTCTTTCCTCCAGATGAAGGCATGATGTTTGTTAGTGTTGCTGGTATAGGGCAAATACAGACGGTCAGGAGGATGGAAGTCCTTATGCTAACTTCATTTGCCTGCTTTTATACCACTGAAACTCCATGGGCTTCTGTGGAGATACTCCAGGTTTATACTGGTGCAAGAGGGACTGCTTCCACGTTCAGATGTCTTGCTTTACTTTACATGTCATCAAAACAATGACTACTTATATAGTATATTAAAAGTATGTCTAGGCAAAACCATTCTGGACTTTTATTTTTAAAAAAGAGGGAAATGAGAATACATATATATTTTAGTACATACCACAGGATTATCCTAGTTTTAAAGGAGGTCCTGAAAGTTGAACTGAAAAAAACCCAGATTACTCTGCCCCTTAATACAGAATTTGATATAATCATATGAATAATCGGTACTTTTTCACATAAATGAGTAAAAACTTGTAACTTTTATGCATGAAAGTAGAAAAATGTGAGAATCTTGCTACGGCTGTCCTACACAAGACAGGCACTCACAGGGAATCTACTTTTGTAGATACTAAACATATCAGCAGATTTATGAGAACAAAAATAGATGTTTGTGTGTGTTACATCACCAGTGCATAGTATTTTATTTTTTCAGAAGGGAGAATGTTTCAATCAGGTGACAGAGTGACAAATGTGAAAGCCAACAGCTTTCAGCAGTGCCACTGATGCATTTTAGGGATGTGGGCAAGTCACTAATTAGTCTCTGATTCTGCTTGAGAATTACATACTTCTGGGGCCTCTGGGAATCAGGAATTGATCTCCCCATTGCAGAGTCAGCTAGCACCTTGTAGTGTTGGGATGAGTTGCCCCATCAGCAAAGATGGGGTAGTACTTTTGTACCTACCTCACAGGGATGTTGTGAGGAATAGTTTTATGCTTGTACAGTGTTTCAGAGATGGAAAATGCTCGGTATTCTCGTTGATTTTAGAGAGTTTACAGTACATGTACTGTTATTTATTATTTGTACTGCAGTAGCACCTATAGGCTCCAGTCAGGACTGATAGGCCTTATCCTAAATGTTGTACACTCACTGACTTGGAACTGATAACAAAGTTTTACTCAGTAACATTTTTTCCAGTGGAGGCATTTCATTATCAAGTATCCATTTGATTACTATAAGGTTTAATTCAATTATTTAGGTGTTCAAATTGATTATTTGTTTTAGACTATGACAGAGATTATTTGGTATCACATTTTGTTTTGAGCTTGTACTGATTTTCAGAAAAAGTGCACCGATTTTCTATGGATAATCTAGAATCAAATCTTGCTATCACTGGAATTCTACTGTATTTTGCTATTAAAGCTAGACATTAAAATAAATACATGTGTATACATTATTATACACCAATATATAATATACATGTATCTATAAACATGTATGTTTTAAATTTCTTTAGCTGCTTAAATTTAATTTCGAACTTTGTTGCGTATTTTGCCCAAGCGTTACCCATTTCAGATGCAATTAAAACAGTATTAAATGGCGTTGGCCCAGAAGCAAAAACTGGAAATCGTGACAAAAAAGGCATGTTGTCACTACAATTATATTTATGAAGGAAAGTTTCTAAGTTTCAAATGTGTTAACATTAAGTTATAGAAGTCTTTAGATTATGTTCAAACAAATTATTATGCCACAATGAGTCACTCACTGTGTAACTGTGTTAAAATAAATAATTAAATAATCCCAAAGGTAATGCTTGCTATCATTTGGATATTGAACAGAAAGTAGCATGTTTCCTAGAGTGGCAAACTATATTTAATATTTTTTACAGGTAAGAATTATCTGATTTACAAAACTATGTTAAGTAACTTCTTCAGCAACTAATTCATGCACTAAATATATTAGCTCAATTAATTCTGTTGATAATCTTTTGTCTTTTTTATTTGAATATAAGGAAAGGTTTAGGTTTAGTTTTGTTTAAGCTGGCCTCAGTGATGTTAGCTTCGTTGATTCTCATCATGGAGTAAAGGCATGAGGAACACTAGTCTAAAGAATCTCTCTATTTTGTCTCTGGGGATTAACGACATCTCTCCACTGCCACATTCTGGTTACCAGCCAACATGTCTGTAGGGTGTTGACTTGTGTGTTGATTAGCACTTGTGATTCAGCCAGTTTCATCAAACACTTGGCACTTGTTCTACTACAATGCACACTTCATATGGGACTTATAGATACCTCACATAAGTAATGTATTCAAGATAGGCTGGTGGTGGAGGATGTAAGTGAACACCTATGCTGGAATTCCAATGCCACTGCCTGTTGCATGCAGCAAATAAAATGTGCACATAAAAAGATGTGGTCACCAGGAGATGTCGGCTGGCACATTTCCACTTGGTTTGTATCCCTTCATGCTCTGAATAATGTGTCTGATATAGGAGGATTATATGGATTTTTACTCTGGATTTTTGCCTTTTTAAGCATTCCTAGTGAGAACAGATACATATCTCAATCAAGAGAACACAGCTTTTCAGGTAGAGTTTTGTAGGCAAAACTGGCTTGGGACTTGCCATATCTTCTGCTCATTTTCTATTAAATTACTCTTTCCAACATAGTTTTCTAGATCACTTTACAGCTAGAATTTAGCCCTTTACCTAGGTTCTAGCCTGCCATCATCCCATTCCAAACAGGTTTGCTGAAACCAACAGGATGCATTATAAGACATTAGCCAATTCATCTAACAGGTAGCAGAATCAAGTTCCCTGTGCATTTCTTACATTTGGTTAAAAGAAAATTCAATTCAGTCTTCAAGCAGTTGTCTATATATCTTGTGCCATTGGATGTGACATCTTTTTTAATATTTGGCAACAGTCAGGTCAGACTGGTACTTTCCCTTACACTGGGTAGCCCAGTGCCCCACAGTTCAGCCTGAGTAAACTAATGACACATGCCAACCAGTATTAGTCATTGAAAGGAATTTCAAAAACATGTTCTCAAGCATCCTATTACAATAGCTGCAGTTTCAGCCTCACAGAAGGTAGGTTAAATGAGGCTGGCAGTCTCTGCAGCCTACAACTTCCCTCATCCCCAACCCCTACTATATTAATGAAGGAGTTTGCCAGTGTTTCTTCTGTGTTCACGTATCTTCTGTTTCTCTTCTGCAAAGTAGTGCTGCTGTGACAATTCCTTTGGTTTCATTTTGTTCCTGTACATGGCCATGTTACTCACTTCTTTTAAGGTAGCGTTAGTTTTGCCCAATGCATTTGTCTATCCTTGTATTATGTTGAGATTAATTTTTTGTTTTTACATTTTGGGCCATGCCATTTTGTCCCTGCTCACATATCCACTTAATTCTAATTTGTTTCTCATGTTGGGACTATGAGTAGAAGATAACAATATATAACAAATATAGCAAAATCTATCACCCTGATACTTTTTCTTTCTCCCTTCATATCTCCAGTGTTAAATGGGACAAAAAGAAAAGGATCATATACCACAGGAAGAGCAACCAATATAGATAGCAGTGTTAAGCACAAACACAGGCATGGTACCAGAATAAAAGTCAACAGGAAAGATAAGAATTTGAGATGATAGCACCGGATTTTAGAAATCCAGGTAACAGAACCATACTCCTACACAACCAACACAACAGATTACCCTAATAGTCACAAACTTTATTTTCTCCACAAGGATTCACTTCCCTGAAGTCAACAAGAGCATCCTGGGGAAGCCGAGCAGTGTGCTCCTAAGTGCAGCTCCTCAGACTTTCTCATCAGCTCAGGAAACGCTTATTCTGATTTGACAAGTTCAGTTCTTAAGGTGGGGTAACTCTTGAAACCAGAAGGATTGTCTAGTTAGTGTGTGTGAATATCCTAAGTGTGTTTCCAGCTTACCCACAATCCATGGTCTTAGAATAAATTGAATATTTTAGTGTTACTAAAGCTTATCATAGGGCTCCGAAACAGGAATGAAAATGACACTTAGCACATACCGATAATTGCAGCTATAAAAGGCCTCATTCTAATCTCTTTTACCTGCACACGTACTCTAATTTCTACAGAATCATTCCTGATATACACTGGTATGAGCAAAATCAAATGGCCGTGGAGATTATATCATTCCCTTTTGAACAGAGCAAGACCCTTTTTTTTTAAACTGTAAATTTTCAGTGCATTTTCTCTGTTACAGTCACAGTACAAGTCACTGTACATACTGGAGCAAACATGCTGTTATCAAGGTATATCTATATGACTGCATGTAACAGACCTTTGACCATTTTGGAGGCCACCCAGACCATCAGAAGTTCTTCCATACCATTTCAACCCCTTTCACTCCCTTGAAAAAGGACAGTTTCATTCAAAGCGAATCCTGGGATTGGCCCTTTGGTAGCCTAGCTGTTGTCTGGGAGCATGTCCCTCAGCCCATGTCAAAACTGCCTGGTAAGGTTTTGCTGACTGATGGGGCAACCCCTGGCCTTCTGCCCCAGACCTGGTCAGCCTAAGATGACAAGCAAAACCTGCAAGGGCAAATATTTCTATCCTGAAATGTGTTTTTAGTTGGAGTAATTTTCCACCATGCCTTTGCATAGCTTTATTTTTAAAGTAATAGGAATTAACTCTTTATCAGATCATTCCTTTCAGCGTGTGTCTCTCTTGTCATTAGGAGTTTGACTCCTATTTTGTGGTTTCATAGTTCATGTCTCATTCTCCTGGGAAGCTGGGCTTCTTCCACAAACACTTATAGGTGGAATGAGAATTGCTCCCTGTAGGTTTTCTGAATGGCTTCTCTAGATTCAGTGAAGCTGGCAGAACATCTTTTAGGATCTGATTATTCATTATTTCATCTAGGTATGTTATCTTGCCCATTCTTGTTCCATCATAAGAATATACACATATTTATTCAGGAATAATATTTCCTGAATAGTTGTGTAGACAGAGTAGTCCCTTAAGTAATGAGTTCAATTAGGCTAGGATACACTATGTAGCAATTCAATAACAAAAGTCCTGGGAGGTAGGGGGAGAAGAGGCTTGGCAATTGCTTACACACAGTATGCTGGTTGACAACTAAAGATTTCATGCTGTGGCATATTTGGCACATGCTGGCCTACAGTTATGCCTAGCAACTCCCAAGGTTTGAGCAGCTTCTTACTAAGGTTTTAATCAAGAAGAAAAAAAACAGAGAAAGAAAAAAAGTATAGTGTGCAAATTAGTAAGACAACAGGCTCCACTTGAAATCTCTTTGGGGTTATTCAATCTTACAGAATACCAGCAACCAAGGAAATCAATTTATCTTCCATTTTTGCCTAAAAAATGTCAGTAGACAGTTTAATTTACCAATTCACTATCCTCAACACAGGCTGTTGGATTCAAAACTATAACAAAAAAAAAAAAATACTGTCAAAACCTGAAATGCATACAGTATTGCAGATTTAGCTTGGGAATTCCAATAGATTCAGCATTTAGTCAGCTTCTCTCTTTCCTATTGTTAAACTATGTAAATATTTCTTCTAAAAAGGTCAGTTAGCTGCATTTCAAGTGGCCTAACGTTCTGCCGTGTTTCTAAAATTATATACCTCCACTATATGTGTTCTTTTGAGGAAAACCCATGCCTAGAAAAATGCCTAGAAATCTTTGGCTCTGCCTGAGCTCCAGTGAGACTACTCTTCTCAGTTTCCATTTTAAGTGAAATCTCCTTTTGAGGAAGCTGTCTTGTGAAATGTAGAGACATTAATAATTTTTTAGAGAAAAACCCATCAAGATTTAAAGCCGACTTCAAATCATTATAATGACTACTCAAATGAAAACAAAACCCAGAACCTAGCAACAGTACACTAAAATAATATGGAATTGAAAGACTGTTATGCCAATACCTCAGAGTCATCTGCTCTTCAAGCTTCTGTTTTTGTGATAGCATTGGGATTCTGCCTGCTGGAGCATTAAGCATTCTTCTGCAGTTTCTGAAGAGGTGGCTGCCAGTCAAACCTCCTTACTGCTGCTGGGGGTAAGTCTTTGGAGGGTTGAGGTAGTGGTACAGATTTCTTACCACTGATTTTATGGAGAATGTTAAAATGTGAAGTTTCACTCAAATGCGTCAAATTAATTGCCTTTTTTAGCTGTCTTTAGTCATGGAGCCAAAGGAAAACTTTGGCTAATTAAGTAAGAGCCAAAAGCAGATTTTAGCTGCTGAAATCATGCCACAGGTGGGGAATCTTTGCTGAGATGCCATTCATGGTCTACAAAGGTTAGAACTTGCCCACTGGGTTGGGATCCTTGAGCCAATACCATACCTGATTGCCGAGCAAAGCACATAGTAAAAGAGCAAGACCTTAACAGGGTGTCAGAAAACAGAAAAAAGCCCCTGTTGCTTCACTGCAAGACAGAAATAT